GGGGATGTCCTAGGTACTTCAAGATCTCTCAGACAGACTACTGGCCTTTACCCCCAATTGTAAAAATCAAAAACGTCTCCAGACATCACCAAGAATCCTCTTGAGAGGAGGGGGAAGTTCAGTCCCCGCTGAGATCTATTGGTATAAAATAAAACATCAAGTATTTTTAGTAAATACCCCTTAAGTATCTACACTTATTCCTTGTTCAGGGCTCTAAAACTAGGAGGAGCTAAATGAGCCATAATTCTACCTACAACAGAATCATTGTTTGGGAGAGAAACAATATGGAAAGAGCAAGTGAAGGCATGGTGCCCAACACTACAATAGGGATAGAATGAAGCAATGCACCACTATCACAGGAAGGTGTGTGAGTGTGTGAGGGAGATGTGCGGACAGCCTCATCAGAAATGTGGCAGGATTAACAGGCCATGGAATGTTGGGGGGTATTATTTTAAGGTGTGTGATTTTTATTTATGCGGCATTTGTTCAACTCTGTGAGGCTGTGATTCTTTGCCTGCCTAAAACACCTGATGGTCTAACAAAGAGCTGAGCGGCCAATAGCAAGGCAGGAGCAAGGATAGGCAGGGCCACCAAGCTACACAGTAAGCCACGAAGAAACAAGTATAAAGAAAGGTGTACAGAAACAGAGAAAGATAAAAGCTCAGAGGCAAAAGGTAGTCAGGATAATTTAAGAAAAGCCGGCAAGAAACAAGCCAAGCTAAGGCCAGGCAATCCTAACTAAGAACAAGCCTCTTTCAGTGATTTACCTGGGAGCTGGGTGGTGGGCCCCCTAAAAGACAAAAGAGTAAAACACGACACAACCATGGAACCTTTAAGAGGCAGGACCAAGTGGAAGGAGATAGTGCCATGGTAGGGGGCGGGGCAGGCAAAGAGGACACAGATGACTCCTATAAGAGACTGATACTGGCATGGGAAAGTAAGTTTGCTGTTCTCCTGAGATCAACATGTGTTCTGTTTGTTTGTTTGGTTGGTTGCTTGACTGGTTTTTGAGACAGGATTTCTCCGTGTGACAGTCCTCACTGTCCTAGAACTCACTCTGTAGACCAGGCTGGCCTCGAACTCACAGAGATCTACCTGCTTCTGCCTTCCGAGTGCTGAGATTAAAAGCATGCACCACCACCTCATGGCTTCTGAGAAAAAGTTTTTGTTTTTTGTTTTTGGTTTTTTGTTTGTTTGTTTTGTTTTTTTTTTTTTAAAAAAAAAAAGAAGAGCAAGCCTGTGCCCTCCTACTCCCTGGCTTCTTACCTCCCTAAATAATCCATCCTCCTTCTCATGTAAGCTCCCACCATGATGCAGCACAGCTAATGAAGCCCCCACCAGAGGCCCTATGGGTGGGGTCACCCAATTTTATGTTGTTAGCCTCCAAAACTATTCATTTAAAACAACTTTTCTTTATAAATCACCCAGCCTCGGTGATCTGTTATTGCAATAGGAAATGATCTACCAGAGAGGGGTACCTAAGGCAGTCCGGGGGTCCTTTCATGGAGGAAAGGACTTCCAAGTTAGGACTTGAAATTTAACACCTCCCTTCTCTCTCCCAGTGAGCCCCCAAGAGAATAAGCCAAGAATAAAACACTCAGAATGGAAATTATCCCAATAGATTTACTTTTTAGGCTGTGTTTTAGAACAGAACCAATAAAAATATTCTATTATGCAACACAGAGACATGGGTAAGGAGACCCTGGAGCGTGCTACAGATGGCACAGCGCACAGCCACCATCTACTTCTTCAGAGGCTAATGGGAAATATATGGCATTTTCTTATTTCATGTCCCACAGTGTGACTGAAAGCAGACTGCTGGATAGAAAGCAGATTGACACCAGTAAGGATTCATCTCTCTCTCTCTCTCTCTCTCTCTCTGTCACACACACACACACTATCTATCTATCTATCTATCTATCTATCTATCTATCTCTCATACACTCCCTCTCTCTCTCCCTAATTCCCTCTCTCTTTCATATACACATTCTCACTCTCCCTCCCCACCTCTCTCTCTCTCTCTCTCTCTCTCTCTCTCACACACACACACACACACACACACACACATCCTCTCTCTCTCTCTCTCTCTCTCTCTCTCTCTGTCACACACACACTCTATCTATCTATCTATCTATCTATCTATCTCTCATACACTCCCTCTCTCTCTCCCTAATTCCCTCTCTCTTTCATATACACATTCTCACTCTCCCTCCCCACCTCTCTCTCTCTCTCTCTCTCTCTCTCTCACACACACACACACACACACACACATCCTCTCTCTCTCACACATTCTCCTTCTCCCTCCCCGCCTCACACACACACACACCCTATCTCTCTCATACATACTTTCTTTCTCTCCTCTCTCCCTCTCTCTTTCTCTCTCTCCCCTGCACATATCCCCTATCTCTCTCTCTCCCTCTCTCTCTCTCCCTCTCTCTCTCTCTTTCTCTCTCTCTCTCTCTCTCTCTCTCTCTCTCTCACACACACACACACACACACACACACACACACACACCTACCTTCTTGCTGACTCTGATCCTATCAAATGACAGAGACTTCCCATCTTCCTGCCCAAGTACCTCTCCAAATCCCTCCCTTGCAACAGAAGTCAGGCTGGCTACTACCCACCAACCTTGCCCCTGCCTCCTGTCACAGAACTCGGTCACTTCTGTCAGTATTCCCTGCAGTTTAACTACAGCTACATGGTTAGTTCACAGGACATAAGAATAGATATGGCATACTTCTTCCCATGCTCACATGGAAACTTCTGGTGCCCAGTGCTCCATGCCATCTTCCCTACTCTCTGACTTGATATATTTGTACACTGCAAACCAAGATTTAAAGATGGCAGAATCAAGGCATGAAAGATTCCTGTCCTTGAGCGTACTTTAGAAAGAGAGAGGGGCCCTAACAGGAATGTCCATACTGAGTTTGCAGGAATTAGAAGTAAATTTCCAGTGTGCTAAGTCACTGAGATTTGAGGGTTTATGTAGCATTGCAGCTAGCATTACCCACCTCATATACCAAAACAGACAAAGAGCCAGGTTTGCTCAGCAATTGTAATCCCTTCCGGTCCCCAGGCACGCATGGTATTTTGGCCTTGCTCACCACTCCGAAGCAAAGAGACCTTTGCCAGAATATTTCCCTGAGCCTTCCTGGAGTTGAATGGGTACTTGAGAGGCTGTTTGCAGGGCCACAGCTAAAGCTCACACTTCATCTAGTGTCTGCAACACAGGGATATGAAAGGACGCGGTCTTTGATGTCAGACAGATGTGGCTTGGACTCCTCCCCAGCCCTGACAATTCCTTGGCTTACTCTCACTGGGCTTTTGTTTCTTCATCTGCAAAATGAGGGTAAGGACACCTCATTGTTGCTTGTTGTAATTTGGCAGGGGGAGTAGAATAAAAGAACGGATCGCATGTGAAACACACACAGAGTTCCCGGTGTCTCCAAAGCCCTCGTTAATTCCCTCCCAACAACCATGAAATTAGCAAATTAAGAATTTATTTACCCGTCTAATCACAAAACTAAGCAAGAGGAGGCTTTTTCACACCGGACCATATGTTTATTTTTCTATGTAAATGTTGGTTATTTCACAAAGAGGAACAAGGTTTAACAAATACTTTTATAGGTTTTTTTTTTTTTTTGGTTCAAAAAGGGAGAACTTAACTTTTAGGAAACTTGAAAATCAAACCATAAACAAAGATAACGTTAAGTTTTTAAATAACTTTTTTCTCTTACTAGAAATAAATGTCGTATTTTCAAACTAGTGATAGCAAAATCCATGCTGGAGTTTGATCCAGAAGAAAACAACAGATAAGACAGTCCACACAACAGTGGGAAGAAAAGCGTTTTTCTGGGATATATTAATCCCCACGAGACAAGGACCTTCCCTGATATTATGTGGCCCTGGATATAATGCCTTGGAGAAAGGATGACACATTACACAAGAAAGAAAGTTGGGTCGGGCAATCCATTTCACCCAAGCAAGGCTCTAAAAGCGAGCTTTGGCAACAGGACGGAAAAGCAGAGCCATAGTTTTTTGGGGGTTTTTTTTGTTGTTTTTTTTTTTTTTCCAGGTAAGCTGGCAGAGCCGTGAACTGTTGCAGTCCCAGCCCCCAGTACAGAACGAAGCTGAAATGTCAGGGCAATGGGGCTGCAGCGGGAGGCATCGATGAGAGCCGCCCACCAGCATGACTAAGTGCTCTTAGGGACAATCCCCACTCAGAGGGCAGAAAGCAAATCTCCAGATGTTCTGAGCTGTCAGCTATGATTAACTGAGGAAAGGTGAAGCTGCCCACTTAACCATCTGAGCAACCTTCCTCATCACAACGACCCCAGAGTTCTCTGCAAAAGCGTTCACGGGTAAAATAAACGGAGGCCCCATCCAACTCCGAGCCTCACTTCTTCTGCTGCCCACCCTCTGATCAAGTCAGAACAGCGGCCTATTTTAAACCAGTGGCAATGTGTTCTCTCGTGGAAACGTGTGGGTTTCCAGAGACAGGCTGGCGCTCGGAAAGGCAGGCACGCGGAAGGCTGCGCCCACTCGCCCATCCTTCCTCTCCCACAAGAGTTTCAGGAGAAGTCCCAGGAGGAGAAGCCTAAGCAGTAGAGGACCTGCCGATGGCTTCCCATGACATTAAGCTCACTCCTATGGGAAAGGAGGAGCTGAGGTCTGGGTGGAAGCAGCCCCATGTGAGAAAAACCAAAGGCTACCTCTAGCCCAGGAAGAAGAATTCTAGCCCCCCCCCCCCCCCCCCCCCCCCCCCCCCCCCCCGCAATGCAGGCCACTGTATCCTTTCTAGAACAATTGATATGGATCTCTGTGCCTCTGTAACAGGCTTCAAAGCAACCTTAAATAGAGTAGAAAACATTCCATGGAACACTGAAGACTTGTTTTTAAACCAAGGTCACAAGACTAATTTACAAAAACAAAACAAAATAAACACTCATTTGCTGATTTTTTTTTTTTAAGGATCCAAGGCTGTGCTTTTACTTACAATCGCTCCAGCTGCTTCAGATCCTGGAAGGCGCCTCTCTCGATGACGCTCACCTGATTGTCTTCCAGATGCCTGGAATCAGAAAGGCAGCCAGGGTCAGGGACTGAAATAGTCAGAGGCCTCATTAGAGGCCTTAGGCTGTGCAGCCATATCACATATGCCCTCCTAGGACCCCGGGGTCCTCCCCACTGTAATCATTCTGTTGGGACAAAAACCACTGCATCCCAGTGTGGTGTCACGGTAACCAGAGTTTCGCCGCCTGCACATGTCTACCTGACAGATTGGCTTCCATGTCTCTATTTTAAGAACATTCCCAGCAAATGTGTCCCCCCCACCCCCACCCCCTCCAGAGAACTGCAGAATGTTGCACAGAAATGGAAGAGGTAAAGCTGCTCCTTGGAGAAACCACGTACATCCAACACCTCTTCCCTCGGAGCTCCCTCCTCCAAGGATTCAAAAATACTTCATTGAAAAGGGCCTTCCTTCCCTGCTCAACTTCACAGAAAGGACAGAGTCACAGAGAAACAGCACTGTGCGGAAGACAGCTAGCCAGGACCCAGAAAGGCCCTCAAGCAGGGCCAGGTTCATCCCAATCCCCTAAAGATAGCGACCTCACAGAAGTCATCCCTATGCCTGGCTACAGGCTGTGCTCTGCCTCTAAGTTCTCCCAGCAGGTGATTAAAAGTCCTAGTCACTCTGCCTAAGTGAGCTTGATCCACGCACGGGGTTCGCCCTAAGAGTTGATCATACAAAGAGACATTTGTTTCCGCAGTCTACCAAGGGGGCGAGGGAGAGTTTAAATTAGGATTAGTTGAACAGGTAGGGGACACAAAGATGATGCATGGATTCTGGGTGGGAAATGGGCCAAGAAATGACAGGGACTGCATTGGGTGGCTGCGTGGGATTTGGGGGACGTGCAGCTGCGATTGAAGGCTGTTTCTTGAGAGGAGGAGGAAATTAAGGAGAGCCCCAGTTTCCTCTGGAATGGCAGAAGCATGGCCTAGGGAGGGTCTATTCTTATTCCATAACAGACCTTCTACAATGACTTTACCTCTTGGGATAGAAGCATGGCCTGGGAAGGGTTTATCTTCATTCCATAACAGACCTTCTACAATGACCTCACCCCTGAGGATAGCCTAACCTCTGGCATGTTTTAGGCTTAAGGGTCAACCTGCTTCACTGAGGAAATCCTCTCTTCCCAAAGATTAAAGAAGAGAATCTTACTTCCTCATACTCCCAACCCAGCACCGTGGCCTACCTGTCAGTCTAGAATGAAAACCACAACTGTGGGGCCAACACACACTGACTTTTCCATAAAGGAGAAGAAGAGTCAATGATGTGAGATTTCTAGCAGGGAATGCAATGGTAAGTCGTTAGGCTCAAATACGCAACACATTTGTGTGCAAATATTAACGGGCCGGGGGGGGGGGGGGGTCAGCCTGTTCATCGGAATCCTCAACCTCTCAAGTCTTCCCATTTATGTGACTTCTGTCCCTGACAGGCCACTTCCATCCAGGCCATTCCCTTAACAGGTAAGAACGGGGTAGCTAAGAGACTTGCCCAAAGGGAAATCACACAGCTAAGGAGAGCCCCCAGTATAGTTTAGGATCTCTGCCTTCCTTCTTACTAGATGGTGGTGTTGTAATGAACACACTACCCATCATCCTTAAGACTCGGTTTCATCATTTGTAAAATACAGAAAATAGGACACCGCAGAAGCACTTAGAAGAATAAAAATGGATTAAATAAATCACGAAGCCCAGCATTTGAAGCAATAAACTGTAATTTTTAATAAATGTTCCTCCCCTCCCCTCTCCTTCCCTCCTCATCTCCATTCTGCCATATGGCAAGGAGGCCCCGGGAAGCTAACAGACTTTTATTAGCACATTTACTATACAGGGTGTCAGTTCGATGCTAGTGACTAGGGGGTTGATCAGCCAGACTTTTATAATCAATCAATCAACCAGCACTCACTGTCATTCTTCTTCAATTAGAACAAGGACTAACTCGAGAGTAGCTGAGTGTCAACCCCCGGATGTATGGAGGGGCTTCGCTCAGTCATTACGCTGACACAACAGAGATGGGCCATATCTGCGTGTGAGCTTTCTCCCCCTGCTCTACCCTGCTCAGGCCCTGGGAAGCTGGCTTGCAATGACTTTTCCAAAGAACGTCTTGGCCTCTACTTACTGTTGGCTTCAGCCACTGGGTTTTACTAGAAGGAGCTGGGAACCGTGGAAAGACAGCGGGGTCAAGAAATTTGCCCTTCGATCAAACCACTCCAGGGTGACTGAGTCCCTCTACCTAAGACACAGCTGCTTTTGTTGGACTGGAAGATCAAGTTGCTCCCATTGCTCCTCAATGCCTCGAAGCAGCTGTGGCTCTGTTCTCACTAGCCTGAGGAACTGGACCACCTCATCCCACCCACACTTCTGTCAACGTTAGCTCTCCTCACCTGCCCCTTGCAGTATCCTTTGGTCCCTGCTGGAAAGGTATCCAGGGTCCTTTTCAGACTGACTTCCTAAACCCATTCAAGTCCAGCCTCGTGCCTGGCATTGAAAGGCTGAGGAAATACCACTCGACAAATAATAGCATCTGACAGTGGATATGTGAGCCATGAAACCTGCAGGGAGACGGCAAGTAACACTGCAAGCCAGGGGCACGTAAGAAAGCTGTTGATCCAGGTCCTAGTTTACCAGCCAGACACGAGAGGACGTGGGATCATGGTCAGGCTAGGTTTTCGGTTCACACGAGAGCTGTCCAAGGCCGGTGTCTGTTCTGAGTTAGGGGGACACAGAGTGTGTTCATTTCAGCTCTTTGGCACTTTTTTCCTTTTTCCTTTTCTCTTCGCTAGATTAGAATCGGAAATGGCCCTCCTGTGATGACGGCCGGGGCGGAGTTTAAAACTCTTTTATTAACCCCATTTGGGATAAAGCTGGCTCCCACATTGTGAACACAGCAAGCCCTTAAATGGATTACTCAGAAAAAGGGTATAATTGATACCAACAGAAGAGACTTTTCCCTGCTCCCAACCTGTGGGAGAGATGATGGTTGCAGGCAACGCCTACATCTCTGCTTCATTTAGGGGAAAATCGCTCTGGGATGGGACGGAAGTTCGCCAGCCTCCCTTCTCTGTTTACCCATTCACCTGCACCATATCAGCAGACAGAAGGCATTCTGCATGGAAATGGGGGGCAAGTTCGAATTATTCACGACAATCGAGGCTTTTATTGCTTCACCATAAACTGTAAATAAGAAACAGACATGGAGACTATGCCAGCATGTCATGAAAGCTTTTCAAAATAAAATAAAAAAAAAAAAAAACAAAAGAGTTCTCTAGGTTACTCAGCTGAGAAGAATGGATGGAGGGAAATACGATTAAAATGTTTGGATATTTTATTGGTGTTAGAAGCCTTCTCCGCTATTCCACCTAGCGGATTTCTTTGACTGAATTAAAGGGCCACTTGAAAGGAACTGTCTGTGAGCTGATAAGGGAGATAATGAAACAGATCTATTAACAGTCGATAAAAAAAAAGGAGTAAAAGGCATTTTGGTATTGCTTATCAAAATAGAAGAATGCGCCAATTAACTCAAAAGATAAACTGTAGTCAAAGGAGGGTTGTAGACTCTGCGGAAGACATTAATGTCACCTTTTGTGATTATTTTAAACTTTCTATTTGCAGAGAGCAGATATGGAAATTGGAATTTTTATTAGTCTCTCTGATGCAGCAGTAAGAAAATCAAAGGGTTATTTTTGACTTGGTTAGAAAATGAAACATTAGGTGAATTTTGACTTGTATGAAAAAACATCTCTTACAGAAACAAGTGGAAGAAATGGGGCAAAAAAGACAAAAAGAAAAAATGCCTAAACACAGTTCTGCCTTTTAAGCCAGCAAATGACCTAGAAGCAGCAGTCTCCTGCCTTGCTTTTTAATACAAAGTACCCTAAAACTGAACCATGGGATCCCCCTGTACCTCTGCCAACCTCCCTACTGATGGGCGTAGACCTTATCAGAGCAGTTACTCAGTTGACATACACACAGGTGCTCAGAGCACAGGACAGGCTTAGTTCAAGGTAGGTCTTCACTCTGAGGATGGCGAGAAAAGAGGTCCATGGGGGGAACATCTGGTAGCTGGAGGCCCTGCATCAGATTCCCGCATCCCTGTGCACTGGTCCCCAGTACCACTCAGGCGACACTCTGCACACCAGAGCTGCATGCCCTTCCCTTCTCCCTCCTCAAGACCCCATGCACTGGAGCTGCACTTCCTTCCCTCTCCTTCCTCCTCCTTTGTGAGCACAGAAGTACTGCATGCATTCTAGTTCCAACTGCTCTGTCGCTCACGATGTGGAGCTGAGATTTCTGCTGTTCCCTCTCCTGCAAAGAGGGGGCCATAATAACGCCAACCTCATATGTTCTGTGCTATGACTAGGCACCGTGTCCACGGTAAGTAACCAAGAAAATGCTGGTCACCATCAGCCTAAGCAATATTACTAATGCTTCTCAAACAAGAGGTCCACATTACCGAAGTTCTGCTTCACAAGTGACAGGCAGTAATCAAACGCTGCTTGGGAAAAAGGCAAAGCCCTGAAGCGCTCCGTGTATAACAAGAATTGAGAGGACTTTGAAGCATTCACTCACTATGTTGCTGAAGGGAAAACTGAGATCCAAGGGGGTACAGGATTTCCCCAAAGTTGCATGAGCAATGAATCCCAAATCAAATGAGAATCTGGTGCTTCCTGTTGCAAGGACAAAATCATTCTGTTGTGCAGAGCTGTGAGTGGAAACAGGGGACTGAGGGGCTGGAGAGGCGACTCAGTAGTTCGGAGTACTTGTTTCTCTTGTAGAAGACACGGGTTCAATTCCCAGCCCCAATAGGGAAGCTCACAACCATCTGTAACTCAAGTTCCAGAGGATCTGATGCCCTCTTCTGACCTTTGAGGACACCAGGCACACATATGGTGGACATACATGCAGGCAAGCAAAGCCTTCATGTATACAAAATGAAATAAATCTTTAAAAAATATGTGTGTTGAGAGAGGTGGAATCTGGTAGCAATGAGTTAGCCGCAACTGCCAATAAAGATGAGCCAGGCATGATTCCATGACACAAATAACATCAAAGCTGGGACCAAACTTCCCAGGCTGCACTCCTGGGCAGGAGCCACACTTCCACATCAGCAATAAGGAAGGAAGGAAAGAAAGAGAACCCAATCGCTGCGCTCTTGTTTCTCTGAGTGTCAAGCTTTTCAGTGAATAGTACATCGTCATCTCCTTATGAAACCCAAACCAAGGGCTAGGTAAAACACTACAATGTTCAGAAAGGAAACCTGCTGTTCCTTGTCTCCCTATTCTATCAATGCCTACCTCAGATTCTGCAACCTGTCTGCACAGCTGTGAATGGCCAGCCAGGATTCTGCCCTTGCCTGGCCCTCTCCATCTCTCCTCCCCTCCTCTCCATTAAGCAGGAAGATAAATAACATCTGTCCCAATTGCTCTTTTAATGCACAAGCTGGGGAAGAAATTATAATCTCTCTGGAAGGGAAGGCATGGTTAGTCAACCTGACATTGCTGTCATCCAGGAAGCAGGGCATGTTGACTTAATTCATTTATTGCCTTCTGTTTTTCCTGTCACTGGAACCCGGTGCTTCTTCTATCGATCTCGCCCAGCCAGCAGCATCCAGCCATACAATCTGATATCTGTGAACACTTGGTACAGTAATGAAGGGCTTTCTGGAGCAGAAGCATGAATTCCCGCGGCCCAGAGCTGGGGAATGTGATGTCAGGGCAGCGCACCGTTTTCACAAGCTGAAGAGCTGAAAATGAAAACTCGCTGGCACACCATTTGCTACTTACAAGACTCGGAGATTCTTCAGTCCAGCGAAGTCCATCTTGGTGATTCTGGTGATGTTATTTCTGTCCAGGTCACTGCAATGGAACAAAAACTCAGGTCAGATCTTTACAGGTTACACTTACACTCTATTCAATGCAGACTTGGCTTAGACTGGGGGAACGCTGCCTGTCAGGGGGTAGGCAATTCCAATGATTAATGTTATCCCTTGAGCATGCCCAACTAACCTGAAGGAAATTGTATGGAATAAGCCATTCATTATGTAGCTAGTGGAACCCAGTTACACTTAACTGCCTGTCTTCTGGGGTCCTTTCTTCAAGTAACAAACGTATCTCTCAGTGTCCCCAGGCCCCCCAATTTTCAGATTAATTTATGCAAGTAGAACTGAGGCCTCCTGTAAATTCCAGGGGTTCCAGGGAGGAAGAGTTGACCCAGGCCAGGCTTTTAAGTACCTTCAATCCCTTTCATTGTCTCAAGAATGCATGCATGATTCAAAGAATAACTTTCTCTCCACTGGGGTAGCAAAGCAGGTCAAAGTTCCCAGAAGCCATCTTGTATCACTAAAGGGCAGTGTTCCAGACCCAGATGACGAAAAGAGACACCCTTCATGGTGTTTTGTGAGTGTTTGGATCTGCTTATGCCTGAAGCCAGATACTTCCGTATTTTAGCCTTTTGTGAGTCGATCTATTCCACTTTATTTTCATTTTGGTTTAAATCAGCTCAGAGTTCCCAGAATACATCTTGCCTCCACTAAAGGACAGTGTTCCAGACCAAGAAGATGAAAACAACCATTTTACATCTATTCCTTGAAATCGAAAAGAATGGTCCACTGGCTTTGGTCCATAGCTAGATAGGTATAAATAGAAAACACAACCTTGTCTAGTAGGCCAAACAAAACTTGTCTAGTTTCTAACTAGTTAGCAAATGCCCTGAGTTTAGTTTCTAACAGGTGTCAACACCATCGAGCCTGTGCGTAGCAGGTAGTAAAAGCTAATTCTACAGAGTAGGCAAAGGCAGCTGCCTGGATGCAACTTGGAAGCTTAGGGGCATTTGTCATGGGGGAGCTGAAAGCTCGGCCTGACAGTTCCTGGGGTAAAGGTGAGGGAGGCATCGTGGGTGGTAGGAAGCCAAGGTTAAAGGGGAGCTGAAGTTAAGAACAAACCTGTGAACAACTGGATAAACATTCTGTATTTCCTGAAGTCACCTATGAGCCCTAGATGAAAAAGGGAGGGGGGCATCGGGAACATTTTAATTTTAATTTACTTTTGTTTGTGTTGCTTTTGTTTTGCTGTGATAGTTTGCCTGTCTAGAACACCTGATGGTCTAATAAAGATCTGACGGCCAATAGCGAGGCAGGAGCAAGGATAGGCAGGACTGGCAGGCAGCAAGGATATAGAGAAGGAGAAATTTGGGAGCAGGGGTTCAGAGGAGTAGCCCGAGAAGGAGGAGGACATGGGGGGCCAGCCATCCAGCTACACAGTAATCTCCGGAGTAAAGGGGAGGTTTATAAAAGTAAGAGAAAAGAAGCCCAGAGGCAAAAGGCAGAGGGGATAATATAAATTAAGAAAAGCGGGCAAGAAACAGCCAAGCTTAGGCCTGATGTTTCTAAATAAGAGTAAGGCTTCGTGTGTGATTCGTGTGGGATCTAGGTGGTGAGCCCCCAAATGAGTCCAAAGAACTTACTACTACTACAGGAAGGAGAAATAAAAAATATTACAGTTCTTAACACTTGAAGCTGAAGACTGAATCCATTCATATTGTGCCCTCCTATGAGAAGAAAAGCTTTCAGGGTTTGAGCCTGTGGCATTTCTACAAGGGTGTCTGAAATTGAGTTTATACAGTGCCGCAAGTCACTCAATTACAGAATCTGCTTTGAAAAGAATGTGTGTTGCCTGACGTGGGGTGCCCTTCTGTATGCTGTAAATACGTTTTCATTACCATTGATTCATAAAGAAGCTGATTTAGTCAATAGTCAGGCAAAATACAGCCAGGTGGGAAATCCAAACAAAGATACCGAGAGAAAGAAGGCAGAGTTGGGGAGACGCCAGCAGCCACCCGGGGAAGCAAGATGTGAGGTAACAAGCCACCAGCCTTGTGGTAAAATGTAGAATAATAGAAATGGGCTGATTTAAGTTGCAAGAGCTAGTTAATAATAAGCCTGAGCTAATATGCCAAACAGTTTGTAATTAATATTAAGCCTCAGAGTGATTATTCAGGAACTGAGTGGGCAGGCAAATAGTCTCCAGTTGCAGCTGCCTGCTTCCATGGTACAAACATTAGAGCACACACACACACACACACACAGAGATTTACCAGCTATGATATCACACAGCGGTAAATCTTATGGGAGCAGTGCTATTACGTGTCTGCTGTCAGCCAAGGCATCAGGATAGTCTCCCTGGATTAGCGAGAGTCACCTGTCCGACAACAGGTCTCCATGAAGACCTGTGAGTTATAGGCTTGCATTAGAGCAGTGGTTCTCAGCTTTTTAATACAGGACCTCACGTTGTAGTGACCCCCTCCCCCAACCACAAAATGATTCTGCTATTTCCTAACTGTATGTTTGTTATTGTTATACATTATAAGTATCTGCTATGCAGGATATCTGATACATGACCCTCAAGGGGTTGTGACCCACAGGTCACATTAGGTCACAGGTCACTGTTGCATTAGACAAGAAGGAGAGCGGTTTCCAATTTCTGCACTTTGTGTGAGGAGCAATCGAGTCTGAGGAGGGATAACTTTGCTGATATGAGAAATTACAGTGATACGAGAAATTACATGGCCTTGGGCAACCTCACCTAGACTCCACTTCTCTTTCCTCAGTTTCCCCCTCCTAGGCCAGCCATCCAAACTGTTTTTTAGTTTGTGATAGAGGACCACCCCATTTCACTTCCACTACTTATGCAGGGTGTCAGTGAGGAAAGGGCCCCAGGCACACACTGACGCCAGGATCGCCCAGCAGTGGAGAGATAGCTGGGATCCAGTAACGTCTCTAGCATGGTGAGCACTCTTCTCTGCTCCCCCCAGAGTCTGGATGGATGTGTGGGGACCTTGGGAACTGGGAAAATGACAAAGCAGTTGAGGGTTTCATTACCAGGACAGAGCGTGGCACTGCGGCAGCTCCTGCTGCCAGCTTCTGCACTGATATTTTCAATTAATATTCATTACGAGAAGGGATGCAGTGTGCCACAGAGGTGCTGAGGACATGCTGGGGTGGGATATACTGTGAGGGTCCTCACATAGAGTCCCGCAGCTGAATTCCTTGCCCAGCCAACCTCCCGAGTGGCCCTTGACTAAGGATCAAAATGACACACACGACCTCAAGAGCTTTTTGTTTTTGAAGGTTAAATAAAGATGCTATACTCATAGGGCTTACCCATCACTAAATTTGGGATTACTTTAACTAGTTGAAGTACACTCCTCTACCTACCTACATAACGCAGAGAAATTTTAGTTCACCAAAACAAACCAGGTACCCCGTTCCCATGTCTTAAGTCATTGACCAAAGTGATTACTTTGGGGTAATCTGTTTCATAACACTGAAGATGTGGAACAAAGAGGGAGAAAAAGACACCTACTGAATATTTAATTCACCACTATGAGTAAAATGGATTCCCATGGCTCTCCATGGCAAAGGTGATTCTCCATGGCTGCTGCTTTGAGACCCTCAGTCCTGTCATCAGAGTCAAGGATGGCTCAAGGAAAGAAGGCATTTATGTCTTCTGGAGATGAGGCGAGAAGTGGCCCCGTGCTTATCTTTGGTGCAATAAACACTGCTTAAGCGAGAGTGTCCATCCATTCAGGTGGAGTTAACGGAAGCACGGGAATCACTGCGGCCTGACTTTACTCCATTCACTGAACACTTGCAGGCTAGTAAGCTGTCCATCAAAGCACCTTTGTGAACACAACAGACTGCATTTCCAAGATTTCCTTGAGTGTGACCATGTGACTGAGTTCATAGCACTGCACAATGGGCTAAAATAATACAGGCTGCCTTCAGGGCAGAGCCATGAAATTCCCTACCCAATGCTTCACACCCTTCCTTGACCTGTATCTTGGGCTGGATTCAGAAAATAATGAAGGACTCGCAAGGTGGCACATGGTCAGAGCCCATGTCCCTGAGTGACTGCATGGGACAGAGATGCCTTCCTTGCCTCCTGATCTGTACCTATCAGATTCAGACATATTCCAGAAATAGCTTCAAAGCCACCCAAATCCAGGGGCTGTTTGTCACAGCAGTCTGTCCTGTCAGGTTCAATGTCTTTAACTTTCTATCCTTTTTGGTTTACATCTTGTCTTCATAACACGTCTGAACAATAGGTATTATTGTTTCCATCAACAGATGAATGTCTGTTGGTGAACCTCCTTAAGAGCATCTCTCTGCCAAGCCTACCCTATGCGCCGAGCCCTTTGCTAACGCTCTGTGTACCTCTTGAATCTATGAGCCATTGTTTACTGTCTCACTTTTCACACAAGGAGACTTGGTCTCGTCCTCTGCTCTTTAGAAGATTTTCACCCAGAAGAAAACTACAACATGAGGTCACATGCCAGTAAGTAAAACAGCACTAGAACCCAGACTGTCTGAATGCAGAGGCCAGGTGTGTGTGTGTGTGTGCGCGCGCGCGCGCGCGCACAAGGATACATGCCCACAGATGCGCCTGCGAGGGCAGAAGTCAATGTCAAGTGTCTTCCTTCGTTCTCTACCTTATTTTGTTGTTGTGGCAGAGTCTGGGGCTCATCAACTAGTTAGACTGTCTAATCACGTCAGACTTGAGCACCTAGGATCCTCTGTCTCCGCATCTGGGTCCTGGAATTGCAGACAAACACCAGGATGCCTGGATTTTTGCATGAGTGCAAGGGGGATCATGATTCAGGTCCTCAAATTTGCACAGCAAAGCCCATTACCCAGTGATCCAGCTTCCCAACCCTATAAAAATGACCTTACAAGCCAGGTCATCTTTAGCCATTGAATCCTGTTGCCCATCTATCACGAGTCTAAGTATTTTCGCAATGTGTAAAGTTATCTACTAGATGGGTGGGGAGGGACAGAAAGTACAAAAACAAATAGAATGAG